GGCGGAGGGCGGGCTGGCAGCGGGTGGCTGGCTCGAGCTGTGCCAGGTGCAGGGTCTGCTGGCTGGGTGCTGGCAGGCTTGCACCTGGCACGGGAACTGTAGCCAGACTGTGCCCCTTTAAGGGCTCCGGGGCCGGGAGGAGGGCAGAAGAGTTTCCCTGGTGGTGCCCAGAGTGACCACCAGGGCAAGCTGGGGAGGGCTAGCCTCCCACTAGTTCGAATTAAGTGGCTACACAGTCCTTAATTCGAACTACTTAATTCGAACTAGGTGTTAGTCCTCGTGGTATGAGGTTTACCTAGTTCGAATTAAGCGCTCCGCTAGTTCGAATTAAGTTCGAACTAGCAGTTCGTGTGTGTAGCGCCTATCAAAGTTAATTCGAACTAACGTCTGTTAGTTCGAATTAACTTTGTAGTGTAGACATACCCTAAGTCTCTAAGGTGACACAGGATATTACAATAAATATTTATTATATAATCACATTCTATTTGTCAACCAATGTGACAAATAGTAACAAGTAATAATTGGTTATCAGAACACAAGACCTTCAGCACCAAAAAGACGCTCCCCCTCACTTGGGCTGGAGTATCACTTCTTTTAGGTTAATGTAAGTCTCAGGCTTTTAGCCTTCACAAGGGCCAGCTATTATTGGAAATACTATTGAGTTATATATTCTTGCAGGCACTGGAAATGGCTTTCTGATTTTCCTGGAGGTGCTCACATGCTGCCTCTATTCCACCACTTCCCTCTAAAGGCCTCACTCCCCTCCCCTTCCTACTGCTCCTCCCCTCCTGCTATACATCTTCCTGCTCCCGCTACACTCCTAGTGCTTCCTGCCTGCCACTGAATAACTGAATTGCATTGGGAAGGAGGGGGAGATGATCTGTGGGGCCCACTCGTGGTGTTTCCTGAATAAAGATGATGTGTGATGCTCTTCGGAAGATGCCTCGTTAAGCCAGTTGTATAAATACACATCTTAGATCTGCTGTAAAAATATATGGGTTACATCTAGATTGCGCATTCTTGTGCAAGAAGATATGCAAATGAGGCATGGTGATGAATATCGCTGGCCTCATTTGCATACCTAATGAGGTGCCATTTTTTCACAAGGGGCTTTTGCGCCAGAAGGAGCTGTCTACACTGCTCCTTCTTGTGCAAAAAACCCCTCTTGCACAAGAGCTAGTCTGCCTGAAAATAAGTGGCAGATCGGCACTTGCGCAAGGGGGAGAGGGGCTGAGCAAGAAGGAGCAGTGTAGACAGCTCCTTCTTGCACAAAAGCCCCTTGTGCAAAATGGCGGCTCTGTAGGTATGCAAATGAGGTGTGGTGATATTCATCACTATGCCTCATTTTCATATCTTCTTGCACAAGAATGCATAATATGGATGTAGCCATGGTGTATCCAAAAGAACATAGGGAATGACCCTGCATTGGTAGTGGTCTTCCTCTTCAAGGAACGAGGTGTACAGATAGTTCGGATTAGGAAGCCTAATCCGAACTATCTAGTCCGTGCCGCGTGTAGCCATGCGGCACGGGGTTCGCACTAGCCGGCTTTTAAAAATGGCGGCGCCGGCTTTATGCTAATGAAGCCCGGGAAATTCAAATCCCGGGCTTCATTAGCAAGTGCGGTATGCATACATTACCCCGCTAGTTCGAACTAGGGGGGTAGTGTAGACATACCCTTGGATAGTGGTACAGAGGGAAAAAAGAAAGTGCCAATATGTCCTTGGCCAGACTAAGGAGGCCAGCATTGACATAAATGACCAATTTATTCTTAGTCTGAAGTTGCAATTATATAAAAAAGGGGATCAGATATTGCTGGCTCTGAAGCACTCATTTAAAGTTGAAGGGTGCTAGGAATTACCCATAAAAATTCTTGGAACTGTCTTTGCTTGTCTGGGGGAGAAATGGATGTATTGCCAATCTAGTCCTCTGGTGCTGTCCCATCTGTATTTTCATAAATGGGTGTCTTATCTAGTGCTCAGAAAGGATTTCATTGCACTTATCCAATATCAGCTAATCCTCTGGTTATAGCTAGTTATAAGATGCCTCTCCTCCAGCTGCTGTTCTGCAGACGTCAGGGGGTGCCCCTTCTCCAGTACTTCTGCCATCCACAACATGCAGGTCATCTGCGGAGGAGCTAGGCTCCAGGGGCTATTCCCCCTCCAGCAGCTTTCCTGTGGGCTGCAGGTAGTCTGGGGAGGACCAGGCTCTGGGGGGTGCCTCTTCTTCCAGCAAGTCCTCCCACATGTCCTCCATGCTATCTTGGGAGGCAGGCTCCAGGGTTAAACCCTCCAAATTTGGCATGCAGTTTCATCTTACCCTAACTTCAACCAAGGTCAGGGTTTGGTTGACTCTGGAAAATGGGAAATGCTGGGAATGGGGCTATTTTCCATAACATGGAAAGGGAGACACTGGAGAGCATAGGGAAGTGTTACTGCTACTGAGAATGGCCAGCAGGACTGGGGCTCTACCATCTTGCCTGCCACCAGATTGGGCAAGGAGTCCCACAGCTCCAAACCCAGAGCCTGCTCCTACATGGACAGCCTGAAGGTTGTGGGGGGCAGCCCCCAGAGCCTGCTACCTTCCCCCCCCCGGGCAGCCTGCAGACTGTGGAGGG